GTATGCCCACAGGCCGAAATAAACATCTTACATCCTGTTTTCTCAAAGAGCCACAACAAAAGAAGGTATCTCAGTTAAAAGGAGTCTTTTAATAACCCAAGTCTGACTCAATATCCAAACCCAAGTCTCAGACTTGGTACCCAAACCCAAACCCAAGTCTCAGACTTGGGTACCCAATACCCAAACCCAAGTCCAGACTTGGGTTTGGGTTTGTAACATACCTAATAGTTGCATCGCTCGATTCATCTCTAGGTATATCGATCGATCAATCGCATACATGTCGCTTGATATCATTTAAAACGCAGTCATTCACTGTATTGTTTTACTGACTGAAGTCGACGCATCAACCAATGGCTATAGCTAAACGCGTAAACGATTCTAACCATTTAATAGCAGGACTTTTGGAAATACAGAAAGTTGCATCATTTTACCAGTCTCGTTCACTTCTTTTTCAAATCAATCATTTTGTAACTATCAAATTTTTTCTTTTAGTGGACGGACAGTCTGCCTCTTTCATTAGAGTAATTATACTGCTGACCTCTCTCTAGGACACTATCAAATTCTCCAAACGAGGAATTTTCGCCCGAAAGTTCGTTTTTACTTTTCATCTATCTGATCTTTATTTATGCTCAACCACAGTAGGTTGAAGGTTCTTGTTATCCGTGGCATGGGATTTTAAAAGCGTCACACATCGATGTTGCTTTAGGCCACTTTTTGAGTTTCTAAGATATTTGACGGAAAAACAATCAGTGTGTTATTTCAAAAGAAATTTTTTTGAGAATTTTAAAAAAATAAGACTTTTTTTCCAATTATACAGAAAATGTAACCTTCGACGCTGCGTTTTGCCAAGGAGCGGAAGAAAAAGAGTGAAGAAATAGTAGAAAAGTCAAGAAATGAAGGGAATACAAAAATTTTTATGGGTAAAACTCTTATTTTAAAATTTTATTGAATTTTTATTTTGGACATTCTTAAGGTTATGTATACTTCGATTTGTAAGCATCTAACTGACAACGAATTATTAATGGCTTCTAGAAACGCCTGGTTCGTTAACTTTAACGAAAGTAGAATACTCAGTTCTATGATTGTTTGCTCTCATGTTTAAGTTAAAATAAGATATTATATATAAGTACAGAAGGTTGATAAACTGTGGAACAGATGAATTTTGAAATCCTAGGGATACGTCTCTACATAAATCTAGTTTCATAAATCAGACATTTAGGAAATTTGGGAACAAGTTTCATAAAGTTTAGGAAACGTGGATGTTAAATTTATTAACCCAGAAGTTACATAAAATCGAAAACTTCCATGAAACATTTTACAAGTTTCATTATAAATGTGGGATTTATGACACTAAATTTATGAAAACAGACTAATCCCGATCCCACAGGGCTCTATATATAGGACTTATTTAGATTTCAAAACTAGCTGAGTTTTAACATTTATTCTTTCGTTTTTTCAGAATATATGAACGAATAATTCTTTTCCTCAGAATATATTTTCTTACCGATACATCAGCAGTTAGTTATGTGTCCTTTTTTCTGCAATGAATCAGTTCCTGAATCAGTAAAATATTATTACTAATCTTTGTTTACAGTCATTTCTATTTTTTTGCACTTTGATCGTATACTACCGTTGCTTCAATAACGGAAAAAATACAGTATTGTCTAACTATAATGTGTTTTTTCAACGTACACGTGGGACATAAGAATATTTGAACTTTAGAAAACACTTACTTCGATCCTGTTCAGCTGAGCGTACTGTTCTCGATATATGATTTCTATCACTTGTTGGCGTTATCAGTTCCCGGTGAACTCTTTCCCTCTCGTATTGTCGGTGTTCCGGAGGTCGAGGTTGGTGACCTCGTTGTACGTGTTCATCAGCTAAACTGTGATTTGTATCTGAGATTGGATTTCTTCGATCTCCTGAAACAGACAAGAAAATTATTTTTTTGTTAATAAATCCAGTCAATGAGTAAAGTACTAGTCGTTGCTCTATATAATGTTGGCTGGTACGGATATAGTCGCCGTCGTTGTTGAGGGACAGAATTCAGCGTTCTATCTAAGAATAAAAATTAATAAAAATCCCTAGATCTGATCAATATTTCATGCTGTATGATATATGTGCCTCTCGCAAAATGAACGTAGTCTATTGAAGATTAAGTAAAATTTATCATATTTATAGTAGTAAAATATGTTTTTTTTTGGTTTCGTTTTAGAATTATTTGTTAACAAAATTTCAAAGCATCAACATATACAATGTTGGATAATGAAATAATTATTTTTTTATCATTAATAATCATTATAAACTTCAGAGTAAGTAAGTTTGAGGCACTATGTGTAATGTTAGGAATTCCTGAGAGGTTTACATCGGTATTAAGTTCTAAAGAGAAAATTGTACAAAGCAGTACTCGAGAATGACCTTTTGAGTTTTTAACGAAAGATCAAAAAATTAAGACGAATAGAAAAAAATCTACTTTTCAGTGGACTGTAAGCTGAGAAAATGATCAATTCTAGATCAAGACGAGAAGACATTTGATTAAATAGCAAGTATTGAGATACATGTTTAGCATGATGCATGCAGGTTTTTGTTATTCTTTTTTTTTCATTCAATTTTCTTGCTCAGTACTCTTAGAGAAATGTTTGATAGTGCTTTTGCAACAAAATTTTCTGAATTATCCTAGACGTTCAGTGGAAAACGACTAAATATGTGTACCACTAAGTCCTACCTGTGCAAAAGTTAATTGTTGATGGTGCGGCAACCTGTGATGGAAATGGTGTAACTGATTTAAGATCAGTTTCTTCCTAAAAATAAAGAGAAATTGTTAAACTCCTGTGTAAAACACCTCCTTGCGTTTTTCCTTGAGTACTTATACTTTTACGAACCCTTCAAATGTGACTTCTCAGAGAATTAAAGCTGAACCGTTGCGCCAATACTTTAAAATATATATCAAATATACTAACTTCGCTAAATTGTTCGGCGATCGTGCCTATACCATCATGCGCTTCAATTGATAATGCATATTCATTATCATCATTTGAGCTCTAAAAGCAAGATGATAGATTTAGACAGATGTTAATTGAAGCGCCTCACACTTGTGTCTCTCTAGTTGAGAATCTAAAAGATCTGTCTTCACTCGCTACTTAGTATCGAAAACTTCTAGAATGGTCTATACGCTGCAGTATTCTCTGCTTGACACGTACAGTTATTTGATTAGTGGACATAATATTCTAAAACAAAGAGAAAAATTGAATTTTTCTTACGATAGAGATAAATTCAGCATAAGTCACGACCAAAGAGAGACGATATATGAAAAAACTGATAGAAATCACTTGAATTTGATAGTTTTTGCGGTTTAATTTTTATTTAACTAGGCAAACTGTAATTGTATAATGAATAAAACTATAACTTGCACTCACAAATCCATGAAAATCTACATGAGGTATCGTATTTAGTTCTCCTTCGGGATACATGCTGTACAAGGGTAAAAAACATTTCCGAAATTCGGCAAGCATTGACTGAATGTTTTATTATAGAGATTATACATCTTACTTAGATAGAATATTAGTTTTGGATTTCACGCGAAAGGTTGTGTATTTTGCAACCTATAATCAGTTTTAGGATATGTACATGTGCAGAGACTTCACTCCCGTAATGTCAAAGTACATTTGTCTAGATAGTCTTCTCAAAGATATAGAGCAGTGAAAAACATTTTCAAAACTGCCATGTAAAGATTCAGATGAAAATGTGAAGTTAAAGTATGAAAGTCTACATTTTAAAGAAGAACCATCTTAGGAAATGCATTTTACTGTTTTTTATGCTCATTTTTTTTTGTACTCATATGAGTTCTATTAACAATTTTGACCTCTTTTGTTTTGAGTTCGCCACCCTATATAGACACTGACACTTTTTAAAATAAAACATTATGCTTTTCTTCATTTCTATTTCATCTACTAGCTTTCTTCAAGCTTCTAACTATTAAGATAGGATGGATTGATAATACATCTTAGAATAAGAAGCTTTTTGCAAGTAAATCAAGTACTAACCAAGAAAATCAAGTACTTGAATGACTTTATCTTCATGTCAAGTCCTTTGCCAAGCACTTCTCCAAGTAACTACTACTTTTAAAATGTACAATTATCGACCAGCATGGCTCAGTCGGCTAGTGGGCAGACAACGTACTCACAGTACTTCACAGATACATAGTTCGAATCTCGTCAACAGCGGTTGCGTGATAGCCTTGAATAAGCTATCTGATACTCATTGTCTCCGTACCTTTAGGTACAGATGCAATGGGGTAATCCGATTTCAATGGCCATTGGACTGGAAAGATGAAAGTTAAAGTTTAAAAAAGAAAATGTACAATTTGACAAATACAAACTACTATTTTTTCAGATGTGTTGAAAGGTATTACTTTGTATAATAGTTCCTAATCTTTTGTACACACAGTATTAAAGATGTAAAGAATGTCAAAGCCTTTTCCATCGGAGACAACTAACATGGTCCTTCACGTATCTACCTATGTTATATTTTCTGAGCAGTTAAGTAAAATGCAAAACACTATTTTATTCATTATAGACTCCATTGGTTCGAACTGCATTTATTTATTCTACAGTATTATTCATCAAGCAATATTTCACTCTCCAAAATAGAGTATCAAATGAGGAATATTGATTATAGATGCCACTAATCAGCAGAGCTACTCGATGGGAAAGGTAGATCTCAAGTAAGCGGAAATAGTTTTTGTAAGTTACAAAAGGCATGAAAAAAATTTTAGTGTTCGGGAGGACGATAAAATTAATTAATGAATTTCAAAATTATAACACAGCATGAGTTGGAAAAATCCAACTGGAAGACAGCTCTAGATAACGTACTTGATTACTTGCTAAGTACTTGTGAATGATCGAAATACTTACCTTATTGCTAAGAAGTACTTTTGAAAGTAAATTGGCAAGTAAGGACAAGTACTTACAAGTGAATTTACTTCTGGGAAAAGGCAAGTACCGGCTTCATTACGCAGACCAAATACTTCGTCCAAGTACTTGGCCCCAAGTACGTTCTCTAGGAAGACGTCACCCTAGTGAATGTGGTTGGTACTTGATGAGTATTTGGGAAGTACGCGATAATTTAAGCACTTGGCAAGTACCGTTACTTGACTTGCTGTTTAAAAGCAGAGTATGGCTGTAGAATACGTACAAAATACAAAATGAGGATAAATGGAATAAGTCTTTGACTGAAGATTTTGAAGTAAATTTACTTCCGTTGTGTCAGCCAGGTACTTACATTTTACTTGTCAAGTATCTGACAAGTGAATTTACTTCGGGAAGTCAACAAGTACTGTCCTCATTATTTAACCCAAGTATATTCACCAGGACATACTTTACGCAGAGTTAGTTATTGTAGGTGGCTTGTTCTGTATGTCAGAATCAAAGAAAGTGAAGATCAAGACCGTCCCAAACAGAGGTAGGGTGTGTGTGACCCTTCTTCATTTTTTAGAAATATTTGAAAATTTAATTTTTTGTAAACATCTAAAAATTAAAATAAACTACAACGTAGTACTATGATATCGTTTTTTTGTTTTTACTCGAGGTTATGTCGTTTTATAGCCGACCTCCTCTCTCGCTTCCTAAAGTTGAAGAGGTCGGGACGACCCTGGTGACGATGTTCGTAACATTCATTATTCAACAAAGATTGGTAGGTAGAACGATGTGTTTCGACATTATTTTGATTTCCATTGCTTCTGTTTCTTTTAAAATTTATTTTAGATCAATTCTTGTGTTGTGTATAATAAACAATAATAAATTGCTCTTATCTGATTGTCTTAGTCTAATCTTGTCGCACAGTAAACTCGTTTAAATTGTGTTGAATGTTTAAAATTTTGATATATACCGTCAGATTATCAGAAAGTTACGTTGCCAATCCAAAACTGTTACTCCTTACCGCCACACATTTTTCCCTCACATCTACGTGACACGATTTAGTCATTATGACCCTGTCCCACACTAGTATTATGATTTATTTTACGAGAAGAACTGCCACTTCCAGAGATCAGATTGAAAAGGAAATTTTGAAACAAGCTCTCCTGACTGACTAAGAAATTAAATGTTCTGAACAACTTTTGTACCTAGAGTTGCACTGCAAAATGCTTATTTCGAAATCTAACCATACCAAAAACCTTTCTCGGTCAAAAACTAACGAAATTTTGACCGATTCAGTTTTCTCTTGAAATTTTCCCGGTTTGTACGACACTCTTCGATGTATATGTTCTGAAGCTTTTCGGCAAACTGGCATCATTTGGCTGAGAAAAAAAAGTTAATTATTTAGGGACTATCTTTAAAAAGGTTCTTGCTTGTTGTCCGTTCATAATGAAAACTTGGTTCTTGCGTGGATCGCTAGAGAAATGTGTGAAAGTTATTCACTCGATAAACAAGTTTAAAACTATTTTTTGTTTCCTACTCGTTATTTACTAATTAATGGTAATTAACGTTAATTTATGCTACTAGTACGCCATGGGAAATTCTATTGACTTTTCACGCATGAATGTCAGCTTCGACTTTCATGAAATTGTGTAGATAAAGACAGCAAGTTTCATGACTTCGGGAACATGCAGTTGTAACAGCAAATGCGTGTCCAAATGCGTGGAGATTGTTCACTTGTGTACAAATGAGCAGGTGCTTCGCGAAAAATTTTAGCAGAAAAATTTGCATGAAAAATCTACACCCGTGTACACAAACTTAACATTCCTCATCCGGGGTCACACGTGAAATAATCGTGGCCTTCGAGATATATATTTCCTGAAATTTACAATCGAACCAAGGCACTTTGAATTGCAAATCCGTAACGTTATCGTTGAGCCGACTTGACATGTTAAAAATCAAATGCTATCTTTTATAATAAAATTCGTTTTAGACATTCTGACACGTGTTTACAACTGAACTTTTCTACGAAAATATTAACGCGAAAAATTCACGCGCGGTCTCTATACACTTCTCGAGTTTCAATAGGGATCACACGGCAGAAAGGTCACATATATGGTTTGGTGAGCTGTTCACGTCCACAAGCAGAGAATGCGGATTCGAAATGAATTTGAAACCTGGTTTTCTGTGGGATCTTTGGAAACTTAACCGAGATTTTTTGGAACTGACATAACAATCTTTCGATTTTATTTCATTGATAGATAGTCCGAAGTGACCTCTATAAAATAAGATCTAAGCAAAAGTTCCATTTTTGTTTGGTTCCGAGACTTGGGATCTTTTTCCCGAGGCCTTGGCGCTTCTGTATGTCAGAGCCAGTTGAAAACGTGAAGATATGCAGTATTCTACCCATAAGAATTCTACAAAAACGAATCTAGAGAACTGAGAACTATGTGGTTTTCTGAAAAGACTTCTCGAGAACCGTCGAACAAATATTAGTTTTGTAAATTTGTCGCTCCCGTACTGATGTCTCGTGGACAAAATTAATCATATCATGAAGTTTTCAACTATTTTTGATGTATTTTGAGTAAATTATGAATTTTTTAATATTAGCTGAAAACAGCCGGAGAAGACTAGTGTTCGTACAACTAAGATTTTGCTAGGTTTTAAAAGTTTTTTCTAAAAATAAACAGTGCTATCATACTCAGCATAGTTCTGTGTTAACCTATGTTTGGGAAAAGAGCTGCATAAAAATATTAAACGTGCATTAACGTGAAATGCTATATTTTATAATAAAATTCGTCGTGTTTGCAACTGAACTTTTCTACGGAAATATTAACGCGAAAAATTCGCGCGCGGTCTCTACACACTTCTCGAGTTTCAGTAGGGATCACACGGCAGAAAGGTCACATATATGGTTTGGTGAGCTATTCACGTCTCGTCACAGGCGGAGAACGTTTTCACGCGTGGTCACACTTCTTTTCACTTGTGACCACGTGCAAAAAAAGTGACGGAAAATTTATTTGTGCACAGTTCACGACTTGTCACACTCTAAAAGAAATCGTGGAGTTGTTAGTCTTATTCGCAATAAGAATGAAACGTTTCTTGATAGACAAAATTTGACGTCAGAATTTTGAGCCAAGAGTCATTTGAAGGTCTGAAAACTCCTGCATTTTAGTTCTACTAAGCCAAGAGCACGAAATGTAAGTTGAATCGGGGAGGAATCCGACATCGACACAAATCAATCCCCTTCTGTTGCCTTTGAAAATATTAGGATGAAAAAGTATTTCTTTCGAAAGTTTTGTTTTGAGAAGGATAATCGATGTTGAATCAGACCTATAATTCGGTACGTTGTCATGCTTAACTTACAAATTTGACGTTTATTTGAATAAGAATATTTGAAAAACATAAAAATGGCGGAACACCTGTCCGATTTCACAGTGAAAAAGGCACATGGTTAATTTTAAAATGCAGATGGTTTTGGATAAATAAATAATTGACCTATCTTAAAAGGAAAACAAAGACGTCAAGAAGTAGATCATTTAAATTTTTACAGTGTA